TTGAAGTGACATTTCATGATTTAAGAATGACATTAGGTCACAGATTCAAGACATTACAGAAATTCTCCAACAGGAAAAGTGCAAAGAAAACACCACTGAAGCACCCCACAGAATCACAAAATAAAAAGACAAAAAAAAGGAGAAAAAAACCTAAGAAAGGAGCTACAGAAAAATACACATTTCAATGGAGTAACAATAAGACCAACAACTGACTTTATAGCAGAAATGATGGAAACCATGAAAAAGTGGAATAAAATCTTTTTAAAACTGAAAGAGTAACTGCCAACCTATAATTCTGTGCAAACAATAGATTCTTCAAATATTAAGAAGAAATAAAAAAAATTTTCAGGTGAATCTAAACTGGAAAAAATTGTTCAACAGACTTGTTCTAAAAGGCAGAAAAAAATAAGCCCAGGGATGGCTTAATAATGTATGAAGACACAAAGGACTAGGAAAAGCAATGATATATGAACAACTCAAAATGCATAGTGACCATATTTAACATATAACATATGTAATATCACAACACATAATGTATGAGCAACAATATCTTGTCATGTGATTTAGTTCTGCATCTAGTTTATATCCCACAATACCAAAGGTGACGATCACAGGGGGCATTCTAAAGCCACTGCATTCATTTGGTGGGCAATATGAAAGTAGTAACTTATATTGGACTGCAAATATATCAAGGAAAAATGTTTTCATTTCTGGGAAAATTATAAAAAGAAGAATAAAAGCCATCACAAGGAAAAAAAAGGAAATTTTTTCTAAGTTTAAAATTCCAAGGTAGGCAACAAAAGGAGAAAAATAGCACCAAAGAACAGAATGGTTAAATAGAAAATAAACAGAAAGATGACAGAGTTAATACCGGTTACACTCAATAAAAATGGACTAAATATTTCAAATTGAAAGACAAAAATGAGATGGAGACTTTACCTCTTTCATGTTTACATGGATGGAGCTAGAAAATGTTCTTCTTAGCAAAGTATCTCAAGAATGAAAGAAAAAGTATCCAATGTACACAGCCCTATTATGAAACTAATTTATAGCTTTCATAGGAAAACTATAACCTAATTATAGCCTTAGAATATGGGGAGAGAGGGAGAGGGGAGAGGAGGGAGGTGGATGGGTGGAGGGAGGGAGATTGGTGGGGTCACCTCTATGGTTTATCTTACAATGGTACAAGTGAATCTTTCTAAAGCAGAGTATGAATGTCTTAACTAAGAAAATGACATGAAGGCTATGTTAACCAGTTTGATGAGAGTATTTCAAATTGTATATGAAAATACCACACTGTACACCGTGATTGCATTAATGTACACAGCTATGATTTAATGAAAAAAAAACAGACAACTCAAAAAATGATAAACTTAAAAAAAAATAGAAAGACAAAAATCAAATTGAGAACATAAGAACTAAAAAAGGTTGAAAGGAAAAAGAAAAAGTATGAAAACACTAATCAAAACACAGCCACTACAGCTAAACTAATAGGAAAAATGATACCCACTTTAAAATAAGAATCATTAATACAAATAAACAGGTACATTGTATAATGATAGGAGTTGTCAATCCACCATGAAAACATAACAATTCTAAGTTTGTATGCACCTAGTAATACCACATCAAATTCTCAATATCTAAATCAATGAAATAACTAGCATTCATTTCAATGTATATTGAGTGACCAAAAATTTGTTTGCTTCAGATCCTGATAATAGTTGAGCCTATATAAATGATAAAATACTTCCTCCAATTTTAGTTCTGATTCTGGTCCTAGAATTTAGCTTTATTCCACAAAATTTAGAAAAAAGTGCTGCCAATAAACATCTGTTTATGTTTAAATTTGTCTAACAAAAATGATCTTTTCTTTTATTGGGCAACATCATGGTAAATCCCTCCTCTCCATATACCTAACTTGATTATGTATGAATCACTTCATTTACACAGAGACTATTATCTTAAACAATAGATATGCAGATGATCTTGGAAATATCATAACATATCCTCTTTGAGTTTCTCATTCATCGCCCCTAAGATGATGGCAATTATAAAAGCACCCCACTTAATACAACAATGACACTATAAGGCATAACAGGCTAAAAGAACAAACACTACTCAGCACTATTACACATAAACTGTCAGATGCCTAGGATTATTATAATTTACTACTTATTACTAAAGTAGCTTTAATTACAACAAATATAGACTAATTATTTTTCGTTTGGTAATCCTATTGACTAACATAATGAAGACTGCAAAAAAGTCATCTGCATTGCTTCTACAATTGACTGCTCTAAAGAAAATCCGGTTACCTTTCAAAGTCCAAGTTGTATTCACTTTGAATATATTGTCTTCCTAGTATTTTAAATCTCGTAATAAACTTTTACAATGTTGCTGGTCTTTTTTTTTTTTTAACATTCAGTATGAATGCAATATACACACACAACGTATATATAGAGTGTATATATATTCAAATATAACCTATAACTAGTTTCTCCATTTAAAAACTGATTCTTTCTCTAACTTCCATTAATGTTTCCAGTTTCTATCATTCATTTGGAGAGGCTAATCAGTTTGTCCCTAGGCAGACATCAATCTCCCTGTAATAAGCAGTTACTCTAAAATGGTCTACAAATTCTTCCAAAGAAAATTGCTCCCTTCTTCTGGGAGATTTCACTAAAATCAAATTTAAAGTTTAATGTCTATCATATATGAGGTACTTGAATATATATTATCTCATTCAATCACAGTACTAACCACAACTTAGTAGATGAAATTACAACTCAGAAAGTCTCAACAATGTGTGAAAGGTTATACATGTAATAAGAAAACCTGGGTTTTGATCCCAGGTGTGCCTTTTTACAAAGCCACGATCTCTCCACTATCAGGGTTTGATAACATAAAGTGCCAGATAGTTAGTATTTTAGGCTTTGCAGACCATACAGTCTTTGTCACAACTACTCAACTCTGCTGCTGTAGCATAAAAGCAGCCATGGATAATACACAAATGAATGAGAGTAGCTATTTCCTGTAAAACTTTATTAACAAAAACAGGTAGGGGCTTAATTTAATCCAAAGCCCATGGTTTGCCAATCTCTGTACTACATTACAACGTGTTGCCCTATATAAATTATAAAATACTTTCTTTAGAAAGCCTCTGTTAATTTTTCACTAAGACCACTACATTTTCTTTCCCTCACTTTTTAAAAAATTATAACCTCAGTCCTACAAGGTCCAATTTTATTTTAATGCTTTTTTTATTAGGTTCAATTATCTGAAACAGGTTACTCCAGGAATTATGTACAATCTTTTACGTATTCTAACTATAATGCCAATTATATCAGAAATTAAATCTATAAATAAGACAAAATATCTCTAAAACTATAGTACAAGCACAGCGGTTCTCAACCTGTGGGTCAAGGCCCACAGGAACTGTATTAAAGGGCCATGGCATTTGGAAGGTTGAGAACCACTGTACTAACATGTACTATATTCTCATCATGAAAATGTTAAACACCTGTATTTAAAATTCTCCCTTTGGAATTTTTTTCAGTCATTAGCATCTAATTTTAATTGCTCAGTAACCGTAACTACGACAAGCCCCACTAATATATTTAGCAGAGCAACAACAGCAAATATCCTCTTTTGATTATTCAAAATAATCATGTATGCTTAAAAATACAAACACATGAAACTTTCATCCCAAAATGAAACTGTAAATACCACCATTAACTTTATTTTTCAACATATTTAAAGAGCTATACACTGGTATAAATAAGAAAAATTTCCTTCCTCGTGAGAGGTATTATTCTTGTTCCCCCATCTCCCAACTTGCACCCTTATGTGGATACTTATACATTCTCTGCTTCTCTCTCTCTCTTATACACACACACACACACACAGATAGTATCTTACAAAACACAATCTGAGTCCAAATAAATGGAAAATATAAGTCAAAAAACATACAAGATCACCTTGAAATTCCAGCTCTACAGCTAAAACCAGTGAATAATCACTTCCAAGCTTTGTGGCTCTTATTTTACCTCTATTAGTCTCTGTTTTCCTCATTCTGAGGTGGAGGAAAGAATTGTACCCACTTTGTATGGTTGCTGTGGCCACTAGGGTGAGAATGAAAATGAGATGCCCATAGCACAGTGTTGACATATAGTCAAGGAATCAAAAATCACCGCCACCTATCACCATTTTGGGGAAGTATTAACATCTACTGAAGTTCCTCTACAAAATAGGAAAACATCGTCTCAAATGGTATATACATAGGATAACTTTTAAAAGCATCTGCAAATTTATCTTATCACTATTGTTAAAAGTCAGGGGTGGTGGTAGTCCTCTTTCTCAAGAACATAATTATTCCCTTAAAAGCCTTTAAAAATTAAACTAATTCTGCTGGGCATCACCATGCCTATAATCCTAGCACTCTGGGAGGCTGAGGGAGGCCAATTGCTGGAGCTCAGGAGTTCAAGACTAACCTGAACAAGAGTGAGACTCCATCTCTACTAAAAATAGAAAAACTGAGGCAAGAGGATCACTTGAGCCCAAGAGTTTGAGGTTGCTGTGAGCTATAATGATGCCACAGCACTCTACCCAGGCCAACAAAGTCACACTCTGTCTCAAAATAATAATGATATAATAAAATAAAATGTAACAAACAAGAAAATGATTAAACTAATTCTATGTTTTATTCCAGAAAAAAAAGTTAACACTTTCCTTTTGTTTTTCATTATCTTACATATTTTTAAACCAAGGCACATATATTAAAAGATAGAATATGTTGATCTCTAAAGAAATCCACTAATAAATAATCATAAATGAATTTGGTTAAAAGGCAACGTTAGACTAAGATCTACTTTCTCAATCCAAATGTATTTTTAAATTCAATAATGTGGGGGTTGTTTTTAATCTTTTACACTTAAAGGAGTCACATGATAATAACTAGTGCTGTAGTTGTGCTAACATTAGTGGATATAAACATTTCTTACCAAATTACGCTTTTTTAGTGGAAGAAAATAGTAATAGTGGCAGAAAGAAAACATCAGTGCGTAGGAAGTAAGAAGTTCAGTGTAGAAACACAATTGCAGAAAAAGCCAATGATTATCTTCACCAACACAATTGTTAATCCTGAAGAAAAAAATGAAAAAGAAACAATTACTTTAAACTTTAATGAGATGCTCATCTCAGGATCTCTAAGAGAAACATAAACACAAATGACTTCACATATGCTTAACTTCCTGGAGACACACTAAAGCCACTCAAACCTAAAAGAACCCTGCACAAAGAAAACATAAATATAGGCCATCCTACATCTGTAAAGCACTACTTTACAAAGGAAGTCCATGTGTATGATGCTCCTTCAATTCACAAGAACCTCAACCCAGTTACGCAGGAAGAGCAGACGGTAGTCTCCTTGTCACATGACATGGAAACACAAAGAAAAGAGTTAAGCCACTAGCCAAGAGATGTACAGTTAGTAAGTACAGGGGCCAAGATAGCGAGAACTATCTTTTTGTAGTTTTCTAATGTACTTTTCCTGTACATTAATTACTCTTCCATACGGCATTCTAGCTGTGGACAGCAATTTGAATGCTCTAAGTAAAACGGCTTAAACTTGCCACTCTGACATAACTGATGAGCCTTCGCAATTTTTTTACTTTAAAAATCCTGGTTGCTGAAAATAAAAATGTATTCAAAAGTATCTATAAACACTTAGAGCCATAAAGAAAGATGGAGACTTTACCTCCTTCATGTTTACATGGATGGAACTGGAAAATGTTCTTCTTAGCAAAGTATCACAAGAATGGGGAAAAAAGTATCCAATGTACACAGCCCTATTATGAAACTAATTTATACCTCTCAAATGAAAGCTACAACTTAATACTAGCCTAAGAATATGGGGAGGGGGTGGGGAAGGGAAGGAGAGAAGGGCGGATGGGTGGTGGAAGGGTGACTGGAAAGATCACCTATATGGTCTGTCTAACAAGGGTACAAGTGAACTTTTCTAGAACTAGAGTATAAATGTTTCAACACAATAACTAAGAAAATGACATAAAGTCTATATTTAAAAAAAAAAAGCACTTAGAGCCAGACTTCTACTGATACAACAGTGAATTATAGGAAAATGGATTGATGCTATAATCCAAAAATGTTTAAGGTCACTTTAAATAGAGTATTTTATTGTTCCAATTTGTTATACTCAAATTTTCAAAGTATTTTAAAATGCTAGCAAAAAGCCCTAGTTCAAAACTACAAATTACCTTCCTTAAGTGTTTTCATTTCAAAATGGCATTAAACTGTCACTGAAAAAAAAGAAAAAGATTTATAACAGGCCCCAGTTCTAACTTAAAATTGTTCTTTGTAAAGTGTGTCATCATACTATTTTTTAAACTGAAGCACAGACGTGAAATGAAAAATCTTGCAGAGGCATGTCTTAGACTTAAGAACACGTGTTTTGTAAACAAGAAAATTTTACTGTTTTGTTATCTGCAAGGAGGGCTATAAGAGAAGTGGGCTTATGTACGCACTCAAAAGCGCTCCTTAACAGTCGTGGCATAAAAGATGACTTGTCCTTGTCCCATCCTTCCTGTCCCCCAAAGTTTGAGAAACAACTGCTCTGATTACAGCATTCTTAACCAGAGAACTGTCCTCAATCTCTAAATATGTAAGATTCTTTCTATAACATTTAAACTACTTAGAAAGAATGTTCAGAGCAAGAAATATAGAAAACTGAGAAATTTGAGAATTAACCTCCAAATCTAAAGCTCTTAAGATACTACAGTTTCTCAAAACATCAAAAATTCTCCTTGCTTCCAATGTAACCTTTTTATTTCCTTTACCCTCTGAACATCTCAGAGGTGCTCCATTAGGAAATTCATTCATGAACATTCTTAAATCTATTTAGGTCCCTTATCTACCCTCCTTTCTGATCTTCCAATCTTTCTACTTTCCCTTCCCTTCTACCTAAGTTGACTAAAAGTATGAAAGCAAAAGGCCCAGAAACAGAGAAATCATACCAGTATTAGAATTCAGGTTAAATAGGACTTTACTTGGTAACCAACAAGGCCATATCCCTTAAAAATAAACAAATATCACTAGTCTCTACAAAAACATTTCCTAGTGGATTGTCTTTTTAAGCCATTGCATTTTTTTTTTTTTTTTGCAGGCTTTGGCCAGGGCCGGGTTTGAACCCAGCACCTCTGGTATATGGGGCAGGCACCTGACTCCTTTGAGCCACAGGTGCAGCCCAAAAACACTGCATTGTTTTGAAAGGAAGCATAAATATCCAACTGTACCACGAACATTTATGGTTTTAGTTAATCAGAAACACTACTATAAAAAGAGCTCAAAATTAAGTTTTTCAGTGTATTTACCATTTATCTAAATACATGTTTTGTCTAACTTTTTAAACTATATTACTATTGTTATGGAAAATAGATCACTGAGATTTTACTTGGGAATTTGTTTAAATGCAAGGCACACTTTTTGAATACCAACTCTATGTCATATTCTATGCTATCTGGTTGACAGATTTAGACAATTTTTAAAACTTTTTCTATAGTAACAAAGTGCTTTTATCTAAAAATGCTCTTATTTTTTCCTAATCTCAGGACTTTACCTTATTTTTAAGTAATCAGCTTAGAGTAAAAACCAAATTTCCTTTAAAAGTTTAGTAATTAGGCATGCTATCAAAGTAAGTTATCAAAAATAAGGGAAATTCTAAATTGATTAGCATTATTAGACAAAGATAAATTCTTCATAAATCAAATTTAGATAAACGTAGTAATAAATTTAAGAAGGCTATTATGGGCTCAGCACCCATAGCTCAGTGAGTAGGGTGCCAGCCACATACACCAAGGCTGACATATTCGAGCCAGGTCCAGGCCTGCTAAACAACAATGACAACAGCAACAACAAAATAACCAGGCATTGTGGTGGGAACCTGTAGTCCCAGCTAATCGGGAGGCTGAGGCAAGAGAATCACTGAAGCCCAAGAGTGTGAGGTTCCTGTGAGCTGTGATGCCACAGTACTCTACTGAGGGTGACATAGTGAGACTCTGTCTCAAAAATTAAAAAAAAAGAAGTCTATTGTGCAGTTAACTTTGCATATATACATACACGTGTGTACAAACAAATACTATATATGTGTATATAGATCTGTTTGTAAAGTGCTATGCTATACCAGTTTAAATATTTATACAGAGATCCAATGCTAGGAAAACAGAATTAAATACAATATCTTCTTCACAGATTTTTGTGACAGCTTTGAAATGAGATACAATACAGAATCCTCACAGCATTTGTTCTTAAAAATTCTATTTTTCAACTGAACATTTTCTTTAATATTACAAGAGAGCCCCCTATTGACCAAAAATGTTAGGTGTTTAGCAGACTCTGCAAATTACTACTTATGTAAATCCAACATGCATGCAATGCTTATACACATAGTCAGTAAATAACACTTTAAAAGGCTTCAGCGGTGAATGGGAGTTTATCAGGGTATTTGAAATATGTTATTAATTAAGAAAAATGGAAAAGGGACAAACTTGGATGTAGATAGTTTATCATGACCCGAAATAGCTACTATTTACATACTTCCTACTTGTCCTCCTGTACTAAAGGTTTTACATACATTGCCTCATTTAATACAAGCACATTAGTCCTTTAGTACATTTGGTTGCATGTAAATTCTTAGTTTTCTACTCAAATCTCTCCTTGTTAGGAAAGATAGGATCTCCGTGGAAAAATGACTTTGGGAGTTGACAGAATCATCTGATCAAATAAAGATATCCTTATTCAGATTTTTTAAAAGTTGCATAACTTTATTGTAACTTTTGTCTAAAGCTAAGTACTAAGATTCACTTTTACCACTTTTTTGTTTCTAAAAGTAAATTTTTGTTTTCTCTTCTTACCATGGACAGTGATGATCCATTCTCCTCACACAGTGGCCACAGCGGCTGCAGTGATGGGAACGCTTTGGTCTCATCAAATTACACTTGTTACATAATTCCCAGAACTCTCTTTCTAGAGAAGGAAATTAAAATCCTTTTAATGAAGGCAAATGAATAACATTGAAATTTAGCAAGAACTATTTAGAAGATTTTATAGGAAGTCTTCTGTATATATCTCTTAATAGATTTTTCTTCTAAGCCTCCAGTATAAACGTGCTTGCATAAATATGGCTGTTCTATTTTATGTATACCTCCTTTTGTATTTTTCTAATATTAAACATTGAAAAACAAGAAACTGTTTTTATAGTCAAAAAAAGGGACAGAAAACAGTGTACCTGGGTTTTGGACATGTTGCAGGAATGTAAGTAAAATCAAATGTAAGTTCAACCAAATAGTTATATTAAAATAGAATTTCATGTAAACAAATTAATTTCTAGAAATTTTATTTTTAAAGGCTTTAAAGAAGAAATAAGGCTAAGTCCTGATTTTCCTAAAACATTTAATTTTTTAAGTATCAGTAGATTCATTTGGAACCTGCACGGGAGCAGGTTGAAGAAGGATGGCACATGAGTTTAAGAGCTATCAGAGTAGTCTCAGGAGTGAAGAAGATGGTAAGAAGTATTACTTATTGCCTAAATGAAGGCAAATGAGTGACACTGAAATTTAGCAAGAACTATTTAGACAATTTTACAAAATTATGAACTATTGCCAAGAAGCAATTCCTCTAGCCCATAGTGAAAAAGCACACAATTAAGTTCTGTGCTAATAATATGAAGTTTGCATGTGCAAAGAGAAAAGGCGTTTGTTTTCTTTATAAATTGCTTTTTAGTCAGATCCAGAAAAACTAAGCATCATATCCAAGATGAGACAATTGCTTTATTATACAAAATACATCCGTTTAATATTTGTTGAAATTGAATTCTACTTTTACAAAATTCTTAAATTTTTTATTACTTTTGTTTAACCTACCCTATAATCTTATTAGTGTATTCAGAATGGGACCTCAGCACAATAGCAGGTGATCCCTAAATGCTTGCTGAACTGGGAAAACTTTAAAATTCTAAAAGAAGAAAGATTATTAATAAATGTAAAGAAGGTAATGGTGGGTACCATTCAATTTCCTAAAATGGTATCCTATTTAAATTCTATTATTTCAGTTCAATGGCCAGGAGTAACATCAACATATGGAATTTTATATAGTAAAGTGTTAGGAAAACATTCTGCTATACGTGTCTCTGAAGAAACATATATCAAATTAATTGTTCTAATAATATTAAAGTTGGGAAATTAACACTTAAAATCTCTTTTTAAAAGAAAAGTCCTTTTTGATTTCTTACGGTTCTTATTTTAATGAAAACAAATCATGTGAGAAAGCAACAATATTAGGTTAATTTAGATACAGTTATACTAGCATGATGAACTATAATTGAAATGGAAACCCATTAATATGTAGTGCATTATGATGTTACAAGCATATAATTTTTTTCCCCACTTAGATCAATGCTCCCAAGCATCTCAATGTTAAAACACTGAATTAACACATCTCTATGAAGACAGACAGACAGGAAGGAGACTTTCCACAGGCCAATGTTCGCAAAAAGGCAACATAAAAACTTTGCTTGTAAATCAGCCCCTTAAAACGTAAATACAGTATTCTAGAGAATAAATTCATTTCATACCTAAAATGTCTATGTGTCCTCAGAAGAGAAGAGAGCATTTGGCTATAGTCAAAGCAACCCCATAATTCTGTAGTCTCGACCACAGATTGGCTGCAGGCAAATCCAACCCACCACCTGTTTTTGTATGATCTGTGAGCTAAGAATAATCTTTATGATTTTAAATCATTGAAAAAAAAAAACACAATCATTTGTGTGATGTAAAAATCCTATGAAATTCAGATTTCAGTGTCCACAAAGTTCTATCTGTTATGTCCACTCATTTACATATCATCTACAGTTGCTTTTATGCTACCATGGAAGAGCTGGGGAGTTATGACAGATACCGTATGGCCCATCAAACTGAAAATACTATCAGGCCCTTACAGTAAAGAATAGTTTTCGAGTCTGGTCTGGACACAAATTTGTTTAAAGAAAGAACGTAAAACATTTCTTTAGCTAAAGTGAATATAACTACAGAAGTATCTGAAATGAGAAAAACCTGTAAGAACTCAGTTTCATACGCATGCACAGGCACATATATCCCTATGTGTTCAGGGCACAAAGAAGAAATCACTACCTTAAAATTCTAGAAATTCAATTAGTCATCTATAATGTGTTTTTATCTTTTGCTTCAAGGAAAAAAAAATCCACCCATCTTTATATACCCTACACATCTATAAAGTATTTTCCCCTTTTCCTTTTCTTCCTCAGGGTTTACTCATATCCAAATAGGATCTTGGTGACTGACACATGTTGATGATTGATGATTACCGACGCGGTTTTGTACTAGTCATCTAATAAAATAAAAGCCTATGGAAAAGAAAATTCAACTTATACTGTATGATAGCTATAGAAAAATAAAAAGCTAACGCAAATACTCAGCCTGATTAGGGCAGCATACTGGAAGCCTCACGAAGAACAGTGTGCTGCCTCCCAAATCCTCCCTGCTCTTAAAACTTATCTCTGTGTCTTTATTATTTTCTAACTATTTCTAATAATTTCAATCAGTCTTTCTGCCCCACCAAGCACTGGAAGGAGACCCATAGCTAGGGTGACCAGATTTTAACATTTGTAAAGCAGGACAGGGGACGGGGCAGGGCAGGGCCTGACAACAATGCAAACTTTGATAAGCAGTTCTCGATAATCACTTCTCAACAATTATTTGTTATTATTACAGTTTAACATTATAAAATTAACAAAAATAATATAAAACTCATATCCTGGCAAAATAGCCACATGGCAGCTGAAAACTGTATATTCCCTTCCTGTTCTCCCGCCCGTTTATGCATTCTTCGAGACTTTTTAAAAACGCCACGGGATGCAGGACAAATTGTTAAAAAGCGGGACTGTCCTGCCGAAAGCGGGACGTCTGGTCACCCTACCCATAGCATGTTTGGGGCTGGTCTCCCTGACAATATTCTTTAAAAAATCAGAAGGAATATTTTACTCTGTAACACTATGTCAAAAAATGGCTCTAGTAATGGCAAAAACACTGATGTCAACAAGCAAGGTAAGAACTTGATAAAAAAAAAAATGTACTAAAGTTGACTATGGTGATGGCAGCACAACTCTGTAAATATATTATAAGCCATTAAATTATATTTTTAAATAGGTAAATCATATAGCATATAAATTATGCTCAATAAAGCAGATTTATTTAAAAATTAAGAGCTTGAATAAAATTATTTCATAAAATGTAAAAGAATAACATTTCTAACTTAAGGCATTATTTTATATTTGTTATTTCAAATATGTGTGTGAATAATATAAACACATAGCAATTTCATTTGGCTATTTCATCTATATGCCCAAAGGTTTATAAAATTAAATTCTGGGGATCTTCTTGTGAGAAAATGGAAAATTTTCTTACATTCAAACGCCTTATATTTAGTGGGCAACATATCTACTTAATGTCATTCGGTTTGAACAAAAATCAAAGGCATGTAAAATATTTCAGAGTAAGTCAATAAAAAATGGTTAAAATCATGAAAGAATTAGGGCTTCAAATTTCCTTTTCTGAAGAAATACATAAAACTTTTCAACCTTCAAACATTTCTGTACAAATAACTTCATGCTATAGTTTTGATTGTTTAGTTACACTATATTATTTTTCACTGTTAAAATTTTGTATTTTTTTAACTAAGTTAAAATCGCAAACGAACCAGGTAACCAACACCAAAAAGTACATGAAGATTGAAATTTATCCCATAATCATAGCAAAGGTGAATAAAGAGCTAAAATTGACAATCTGTACATAGATCCATGGTAGAAAGGTGACAGAGACAACAATCTGGGTCTTCTGGGTGTCACGCCACCTCTATACCAACCTGTATGATTCAGGAAGATAATCTGCACTCCTGACCACCCAGCCCACCCGCCTCGTAAAATCACCATGAGGATCATCTGATATGAAATAACAAAAGACTTTGGAGAAACATTAAAATGTGATAGATAAATCTATTTTTTTCAATTGGGTAAAAGGGAAGTTTCCTGGACTTAGAGAAAAAAAAAATTGGCCACATATCAACTGAGACAAGATATCATACTGACATCCACACACTCAACAATACACCACAGTGTCCTCCATCACTACAGTCTACAAACTAAAAGTAACACAGTGTATGTGGACTCAGGCTCACAGATTTAGTTTATTTGGTGCTCAGTAGTGTCAGGAGCATGTACATGCATTTAAATGTCTGACTACTGCAAAGAGTTCATCAAAAATGGGTCCTGAGTTAGAAAAAACTTGCTTCTTAGATTTTCTGGGACCACTGGATTTTATAGGTGAAGTAGATAACATACACATGCAATAATTTAAAGAGTTTTTGGCTAAGCAAATTGGGAAGAAGAGGTATTCTATTCAGACTACAGAGTGACACCCTCCCCAACCGGGCCATAACACATGCACCCACACAAACTATTAAGCAACAATGCTACTATTTCTATACATTAATAAGAGCTAAATATTCAGCCAGGCACAGTGGCTCACACCTGTAATCCTAGCACTCTGGGAGGCTGAGACATGTGGATTGCTTGAGCTCAGGAGTTTGACACCAGCCTGAGCAAAAGCAAGACCACCATCTCTAAAAATAGCCAGGAGTTGTATTGGGTGCCTATAATCCCAGCTACATAGGAGGCTGAGGCAAGAAAATAACTTGAGCCCAAGAGTTTGAGGGTGCTGTGAGATATGACACCACGGCACTCTACCAAGGATGACAAAGTAAGACTCTATATCAATAAATAAATAAATATTCAATATAATGCTCAAAATGTCTATAGCTACATAAACATCAGTGTAATAGTCCGATTTAACCTCTAAATTTGCAAGGCCAAATGAGCCCCTTCAGTGATGGGTCATGAAACACAACAATCAGGATTTAAGAGAGTCTCTCTAAGTGACTAGTCACTTAATCTAATTTCATGAGGAATTAATACTTTGGTTCCCAAACTTTGCTACACATTGAAATCATCTAGGTTCTTTCAAAAATACTGATACCTGACTCCTACCCTCAAGCATTCTAATTATATGGGGTGTGACTTAAACCTGGATATTAAGAGTTTTAAAAGCTCCCCAGGTGATTCTAATGTATAGCAAGTTTGGAAGCCACTAAATTACTATAAAAAGAATTCTGCTTCTATAATATACTTCATAAACACATAAATGTCTTACTAGAAGAAAGTACAGAGTTCTCAAAGCTTATCTAGCAATCAAAAAGTGAGACTCAAAGAGGAAAGAAGATAAATGAAGTTGTGCTATACCTGTATGTAATACAATTAGCAATACATTTTCTTTTTCTTTTGAGACAAAGTCTCAAGCTGTCTCCCTGAATAGAGTGCCGTCGCATCATGACTCACAGCAACCTCCAACTCTTGGTCTCAAGTGATCCTCTTGCCTCAGTTTTTTTTTATTTTTAACAGAGACAGGGTCTCGCTTTTGCTCCGGCTGGTTTCAAACTTACGAGCACAAGCTATCCACCTGCCTCGGCCTCCAGCAAAGACATTTTCAATTCATTTTTGTGGTTTGAATGGTTATTATAGAATAGGGTGATCAAAAATCAATTGACACTAGAATAAAAGGTTTGCAAGTTTTTCACTGAATTGTTAGCCCTTGGAGAAATATGGATAATGATATCCATAATACTACAAATATTTACTCCAAGCAATGTTATGTTTATAATGAGGAAAGTGGAAAAATCAAGAAAATTCCTTCATTAAGTAAAAATGCAATTTCTCAGATAATTATGTATCATTCAACAAATATTTACAGAGCATCTAAGTGACAGAGATTCTGCTGGACACTAAGAACATGGTAGTGAACAAATGAAGAAAACAAAACAAAAAATCTACATCTTTACCGGGCTAGTAAAGGTAAACAAGTAAACAAGCAAACTGAAAAGGAGAGCCAGAAGTCAGGAGATGTGGAATTTTAAATAAAGATGTCTAAAAAGAAAAGATATGAGCAGAGATTTAAAAGTGGTCTCAGATGATGTATACAACTAACCTATATTAATAAACTGATAAATCTAGAGTGCCATACCTCCATGTGGAATCTTAGGGTTCTCCGGGAGTCTTCCTGGATCAGTTATTGAGGCCCTCACCAAGGCAACCAGACAAAATATGGCAATGCCATAGAATACTTTAAAATAAATAAATAAACAAATTAGTCACTCATCCATCAAAACACTGTATCAACAAGCATAAAGTTTAAAAATATATATGCTAACCAATACCATCAGGATAAATTTCAAAAGATAAAATGGAAAAATTAAATCACTAATTGATTTTATTCACCAAAAGTACTGCCAAGAGGACTATGTTAGATACTAATTTAAAATATTATTTTGCATGAAACTAAATGATAAACTTATTATAAACCAGATTTCCTATTAACACTGATTCCTGGTCAATAGTGATGTAAATAAATGAGGTCCCTTTTAATTACTACATGTATTATATTTGAAAGGAGCAAAATAACATTTTAAAAATATTCCACAGTTGCTATGTGTATTTGACTTAATACTAAAAAAAAATAAAAATATTCCATAGTTAAACTTTTTCATTAACTGTCTATCTTTAAAATTACTCTGAATCCTTTTTAATGGATCTTAAGATACTTGAGAAGAATTAGAAACTTTTGAATTTTAAGATTAATAACCAGAAAAACAAACTGTAAGGGAAAACAGATTCTGTTACCAGAATTCTATATTTTTAAGTGAATTAATAAGAATGTAAGCATTTGGTTGAGAGCATAAAGAACAACACTTGGCATATGTAAAAGGGAATAATCTGAGTGCTCCATCCTGATCTGACTGCATAGTGTTGGTTAGTTTTCTCACTTGTAGAAACAGAGATTATGTTTTCCATAGCTCTTGTGAGGGCTAAATGAAGGGATATATATTAAAACTGTAAGTTCCATGCACCTGTAAAATATATTATATAGACTAAGTATTTTAATCACAAGCAAGCCATCACCAATTGATAGTAACACAAAATAATTATCCAAAAGTTCAAAGTGTTATCATAAAACTTAATAATCAATAATTTTACTATCATGAAATTCTCATTGCTCCCTACCATTTTCATTCTCAAAACTTCCACGTTTACAATTAAGTACAAAAGAGAAACATTAAAAATACACATAGATAAACAAGTCATCATCATTGTGTCAAGTTTATTTTAAACAGTCTTTATATATTTTGTAGAATTAAATAATTCTGAACATACCATTTTTATCTCACTCTGCAAATAAAGGCCACTCTTTTTTAAAACTTCCATAATTTATCAAATAAGCAAATATTAACAGAACTATTAAAATATCAAGTATATTAAAAGGAAGGTTTTCATAGCCCTATATTCAAAAAGCATTCACAATGATTATAATCTTTAATTATATAAGAAAACAAATAAAAATCCAGAAACTTACTTATTATTAATATGCCTGGAATATGTCCTTCTTCATAGTGAGGAAAGAGGACAATTTTGGGAATTATAACAATATTGTACAACCAGACAAAGACAATCAAACCCATACAGCACCAACCATGTGGGTCAACAACAAAGTGAATCCGAAGACCCATTTTGCGGTCCTATCAGCGCCTGCCAGCCCACAAGGAAAGATGATTCTAAGGATAAGGGAAAAAGAAAAAAAATTACACAGAAAAAATTATTTCATCAAAGCAAAACTACATTTCTGGCAACTACAAAATGGCATTTCTTGGGTTCTCTTTGTATATTTGATGTTTTTAACAACAAATACTTTGAAAACAAAAAGAAGGTTCTGGATATTCAATTTCACCATAATATTCAAATAATTTAATTTCAACTTTTCATTATGAGTTGCTGTCAAGAATATAAATTAGCATTATCTACTGAAGTTAAAACAGAAATCTGTCCTTAACCCAGGAATTCCATGTGTAAACCCAAAAGAAATGAGCACATTATGTCTACTAAAGTAAGAACAAAAATTTTCAATAGCTTTTATCTTAAGACTAATAATCATCCAAGTCAAAATCCTGCTTTTCTTATGGGAGAGAGGTGTATAATCACTGGAAAGAGACGTGGGGAGCCTGTGAGGAGCTAGAGATGTTCTTGACCTGGATGTACTTTGTGTGTATATACAAACATAAACATTCACTGACCCATACACATAAGATTTGTACACTTAAATTTTAAACCACGATAAAATATTTTAAAAATCATTTTGAAAAATTACAATGAAAGGAGAAAATTACAAATTGCTAAAAATATTAAAAACTCATAGAACGAAGCCCTACTAAACATCTCAATGCTTCCAAATCAAGAAGAACTCCACTTAAATGAGGCTTTTTTTGCAGTCATGTATAAACAAATCCAGCCAACAAATTTCCTAATGAGATACTTAAAGAGTATTTCTATACTAACAGTAAAAAAAAAAAGTGACAAAATATATTATACTTGAGCAGATACAATTTACAGAGCTTAAATAAGAAATTACTTACAAGGTCTATGGGATACCTCTTACATAAAACAAAATGGTATAATGATAAACTAGAATAATGGTTCTCAAATCTGTAAGAAAACCAAAATCACCTAGGGAACTCTTCTAAAATACATATACCCAGACTCTATTCTAGATCTACTAAATTGATTCAGCTTTCATAAAGCTCAAAAACCAATAAAATGCTTTAAATGCTCTCCAGGTATCAGATATAGCTTCTAGTACCTAAGAACAACAGGCTATGGAATTCCACTAACACTTTAATATAGCAATGAATTCACCTTAGTTCAAGAAATATTTATCAAACCTCCACTATACATTAGTCACTTGCAAAACACTACAGATACTATGGTGAATAAGACATAGTCTTTGCTTAAAGGAACTAAAAGTGTAAGGGGAAAAAGAATCATAAAAAAGGTTTAATATACTATTTTAAAACTGCACACAAACTTTATGGATACCCTGTATTATAGGATAAGTTCTAGATTTGTGAACAAGATCTTAGCAGTGGCACAGAAGATACTGACTAGTTAAATTAGGGCTTAAGCAAGAATTAAAGCAGTGAGTCTTTCTGATTAATTAGATATTAGGGGTTACAGAGGAAAGAGTCAAGGATGACTCCCAGATTTTCAGCTTATATCCCACACTACTTGATTCTAAGAATATCATCAGTTGAAGAGCCTTAGGGTACCATCACTCAGAGGCCTTGGCCAGTGTTCTTCAAAGCTATAAAATTACTAAAACAAAGAAAAAGTGAATAAGGAATAATTTTAAATGAATACCCCTTTTTCTTTCATACCTAGATCTTGAAAATATTCAGACAGTAAAAAAAAAGATAACTCAATCCCACCCAACAGTTTAAGCCAGATATGGTTCAAGTTGTTACAGTTCTTGTGTAAGAATTCTAAAATAGACAAAGCTCTGAAAAAGTAAAAGTTGAACTTCCTTACCATTTAATTAGAAAAGAAAAGACCAATCAGTACCATTAAAGTGAGGAAAGTCAGAGAGGATAAAGTATGCTATTTAATTTGCTAGGTATCATTATTTTAAAAATTAGAACTCAAATACAAATGGAAAGCTATCTATATAGCTGAAAAAAGAAATATTCAAAAGAATGTTAATTTTTTACAATCAAGGGCTAAAAGAAATGACAAAAGGCTGTCTCTCAGCATGTTCAATATTATTAATTCCATGTACCTTTTTCTTTTAATGTTTCAGTTCTATTCAGGACTAAAAACCAGAACGTGAATTCCAATAATCAAATGGTATAGAGTAATTTCATTACTTAGTTCTAAGTTTATTAACATTGGAAAGAGAAAAGCATACAAGGAGCAAAACAAGTGGCAAAATTATCCAATACTCATTCACTTTTCTCATTTTATTTTATTCTCCACTCCAGAGAAGAGAAAAGATCTCTCACAACAGAAAATACTATATAATGAAAAGTATAGTTTAAAATGTGTCCATTTCTCCTGGATGTGAACACACATAGATGACAAGTTCTAAAAGAAAAAGTATCCCCAAGGAAAAGTGAGCATAGGATAGAAAAACAAAACAGGAAACAAATAAGATGTTCAATATTTGTTTAAATACCTGATTAGTAAAAACTAGTGCCACATAATCCTTTAAATTGGGTTGTAGAGAAGAAAACAGTGGTCTCCCAAGAGCTCCAAATCAGGTTACAACTATAAACGTGTAACTGGTAGAGTGGCAAGATCACTCCACTCAGTTAAATATCTAGCAGGCGTGGCTTAGGGCTGAAGAGAAACTATTACACATCCTGAGCCACAACCAACCTAAACAGGATGCTGTTGCGCAGTCTAGCACTTGTAAAAAGCTAGAGACTCCAGCATATTAATTTGCATGTTAAATGGTGAGCTCTAACTCAAACTTTGATGTAATTAGTGGACAGGTATTCCAACATTTTTTAAGCCTGCTGTCTGGTAACTGAGAGCAGTAACTAATGATGTAAATTACTACAGCACAAACTTTTTAAAAGAAATTATAATTCTACTCTGATAAACTAGAAGTGAGTAAATATGTGTTCGAATTATGCCGATGTAACACCATCTCTCCTTTTTTTGTATTTCCAGCCAGCTGTACAACAATATGTACTTTCCTTAAGAAGAATGGTCAAGTCACTATAAAAAGCCAGTAACAGAAAACAACTATAGGACAGAAAACTGTCACATGGGAATGCAGATTTTAAGAAATCACAAAGTTTAGCTAAAACAATTAATAAGAAATCCAGGCAAACATTTATCGCTAAACTTGTAATTAATCTGACTCTCTACCTAGACAAAGTGGTCGTATTACTGTCCCATGAATATGAAAAATATGTTTCATCACACATTCCTCCTGTCTGAAACGCCCTGCCATACTGCTTACTCTATTTACCACATTTCAACATTAATTTGAATCTCACTCTCCATATAAAATTTTTCCTGGCACCTCCATTCTCAGTGATTTCTCTTTTTCTTCTAAATTTTATTAAAAGGAAAATTATTAGAAGAAAATAATAAGTGGTTTTACAATCTTGGAATGAGAAAAGCCTTTATAGCCAACACCCATAGCCATTTTGGCCACATAAAAAAGCAATATTTCTGAAGCTCGAAACATACCAAAAACAAAGTTAAAAGACAAAGCATCCCTGAAAAAAATGTTACAACACATAATTGATAAGAGGGACAAAAGAAAAATATATAAAGAGACAATTCACAAAAGGAAAAAAATCCAGTGACTAATAATTAGGAAAATCTAAAATAACTGGCATGCTTTTTTCATCCACTGTATTAAAAACCTTTTAGAGAGGCAGATGCTACCCAATGTTGAGAGCGTATGATTCTCATGCACTAATGGTGTGCATGCAAATGAATACAATCATCTTGGGAAGACAATTGGCTATATCAAAATACAAAACCCCTTTACTCGGCAGTTTTATTTTTAGTACTACCTACGAAAGTACTCCTGAGACTGTGTAAGTATATACAAGCACAATCAAAGGTGTACAAGGATATGGCACCTTTTATAATAAACATGGCATATCCTAAATGTCCATGTAGAAGGATGAGAATGATCAAATAAATTATGTCCATAGTGAAAACTATTTATAAGCTAGTACAATAAAAAAAAAAAAAACAAGGAAGAAAAGGAGGCACATCTAGATCTGTATATGACTAATCATGACGTATTGTTGAGTGAATAAAGCAAGTTACACTGGCAAAATCTACAGGAGCTTGGGGTGGACTTTTAACAGAGGTTTTTCTGGGAGAGGGATATATGAGGGAACTTTCTATGGTGCCAATAAAGTTCTATCTCTTTAGATATTTTCAGTTTATACAAATCTGTCAAACCTCAGCAAATGTACCCTTAAGACTATACCTACATGTATACATAAGTGCATTTTGTGGTATATAAATTTACCATAAAAAAGTAAAACAATATTGAACTCTATGATACATACACACACTGCATTATGTAGGAGAGAAATGTATTGATGCTTGCGATTTACTTTAAAACATATCCAAAAAAAATAGTAAAATGGACAGAGATAGATGAATACGTAATGAAGTTCAATAAAATGTTAGTACAGACTCTACATGAAGGAGATTCATATGTTATACAGTAAAATTCTTTCAATGCTTCTGTTTGAAATTTTTGAAAATTAAATATTGGGAGAAGTTTGTATGACATTTTTTGTTAGAAAAAATATATGTATATATGTAAAAGTAATTTCTGTATACCAACCAAGGTATTAATGGTGGTTATCAATGAGCTAGGGGAAGAAAGTATACACTTCCTTATATATTTACATGTTCTTCTAAGTTTATAAACAAATGTATACTTCCAAATTTGACTTTCAACAAACCATAAAATAAAGACGGCCGAAGGAACACCAAACTTGCAAACAAAATGATTAATTTAAGCCTTTCTTTAACACTATGTATTATCCTCATATTAAATGCTTTTAAAATTCGTATTTTTAAAATGCAGTATAAAAGGATCAACTTTAAAGCCATATAGGATATATAAGTCAAAAAGGTGTTTCTGAAACTTATATTATTTACAGATTATCTTTCTCTATGGAAGAAGTCTTAATTAAGAAAACAGGCTTAATTAAAATTTAATATGAAAACTTTATAAACACAAGGTAACTGCATTTACTAATGAATAATTAAGTGCTTCTGAACTCCAAGGACACTACGCCACATGATTCAAAAACATATGACCCTGTAAAATCAAATGCAAACTCACCACTGGGAAATTCACTGAGATGTGTCGTAGTTTTTCTGGTACTTGCATTTAGAGGTTTTCTCTTGAGTCATTCTTTTTTTAAGAAAAGTTACATCCACCAAATGGATCTCTCTTCAATAATAGTTCTCCACAAGAACCTATCAATAGTTTAACAAATAATGATCTCTCACAAAGATAAAAATTATAAGCAGATAAATATTCTAACTGAAAATGCCAATTAAAAAAGTTTTAAATTTAGAATAAAATATATTACTTCATAATATAATAATCATATCCCACCCATCTCCCCAGAATCTGATTACCTCTATACATGAAAGTTCTCTTTTCTGAAACCACCCAATTTCCATAAAAGCAAATAAGCGTCATGTGCCCAGTATTAGAACTTCATCAAAATTCCTTGACCACAAATTACAAAATGACAACACATTCTGCACAACTGCTAAACAGAGAAGAGTTTAAAGTACAAGTACAAAACCATTATAGGAGGACTGCTTGAGCGCAGGAGTTCAAGACCTGCCAGAGCAACATAGTGATACTGCCTCTACCTCCAAAATTAAAAAATTAACCAGGTGTCTAATGTATGCAACCATAGTCCCAGTAACTCAGGAGGCTGAGGTAGGAGGATTGCTTGAGCCCAGGAGGATTGCTTGATCAAATGAGCTAAGGCCATCCCACTGCACTTCAGTCTGGGCTATAGTGGGAGACAGTGGAGGGGAAAGAAAGGGAGAAAAAAAGAAGAGATAGGTTCTATCCTTAATGGAGACAGACTCGTAAACAGACAAGAGAGGGCAATGATACTGGTTCAGGAAATTGCATACAAATTCATTTATACACATTGCAAAAGGTAAATTGTTATGAAAAGATTTCCTAGAGACAGTGAAGCCTGTGAGTTAGCTAGAGGAACCATGGAGGCTCGTCTGACCAAGAGAGCAGAATAAGTAAAGGTATAAAAGTAGGCGGAGAAAATCTGAGTAAACTAAAATATCTAGGATCGTTGCATATAGAAGAATAGGGTAAAATGTATAACCTTTAACCACAACTTACTGTAAGATATAAATTTAATAACATTAGTAGTACCACAGAAATATGTGAGTAACTACACCCTTATTACATATAGCACGCACTGATACTGCTATTCTCCTTTTTTTTTTTTTTTCTCCAGGAAATGGAGTCTCAATATGTTGCCCAGGTTGGAGTGCAGTGGTTATTTACAGGCAGAATCACTAAGCCTCACCCTCCTGGGTTCAAACAATCCTGCTACTCCAGTCTCCTAAGTAGCTGGGACTACAGGTATGTCACATCACCTCACCTGGCTTATTTTACCTTTATAAGAATATATGTATAACGCTGGTCACAGCCTACTAAACTGATTCCATGACCCACAGGTAGAGAGTCATACTCAGATTGAAAAACACTGGTGAGTTTGGACTGAACGGAGAACACAGTAGAAAACTACTAAAGGATTCTAGGCAGTAAAATGCTACCATCAAATCTGCCTTTGGGGAGGAACAGCAACAATCTGAAGGCTGGATTTGGGTGAATGAATATAGCACTGAGACTGACTAATAAATGCAACAAGGTAGGCTGTGTTGCCCAGGTGAGAAACAACTGAAGCATACGGGCAAGCCCCCCAAAATTGTAGCTTATATGAGGAATGGGAGGGGTGTGTATGTGTCTTCAGTGGCACTTAAGACAGGAAGCATGCTGGAAAAGAGCCGCTCTAGAAGAACTTAACGAGTAAAACTGATAGGACTTAAGTGATCAGTTGGAGAAAAGAGCAAATTCTAGATGGCTCCCAAGTGTCTTGCTTAGAGATGACGAAGGGTGGTACCATTCTCCAAGACAGGAAACAGAGGACAAGTTACAAGGTTGTGAAGCACGCTGCTTACCACGGCAACAACAAGCTATTACATATGAGGATGTGAAAAATATATAAACCTTTGTTGTTACATTTCCATTCCTTTTATATATTTAGGGGGGAAAGAAGGAAGGAAGGAAAGAAAGGAGGGAGGGAGGGACGGAGGGGAAGGAAGAAAAGGAAGGAAGGAAAGAAAGAAACCTTGCATTTTTCTCCCAGAGTTAATTTTTCTATAGTCCACGACTGTTAGATTGCCAAATGTAATTTGTTTCTACTCTAACTTTTTAAACTAATTTGAAGTAGCCTCTTTGGCTACATCTTTGCTTCTTAGAGATAAAACATGAAATGACAAAGTTAAGAAGAGGCTACTCCAATAGCAAATGAATGGATTGTTCTTCCAGAAAGAAAAAAATGCAAACTGAATTAAATTTGGTAAAACAAAATGTTTTGAAACATGGCCAAAGTCAATAATGCTGCTAAGGCTATGATTCTAGGGTGGCCTCCTAACGCTTCAGCAAACCAGTAGTTTCTGTCAGTAACATTATTAGGTAATAGCACAAGCTGATCATCTGTGAGTCAAATCTCAGTCACTCATTGGCTTAAAATCAAGAAAAATCCTACTTTACATTTACAGTTATTAGAGCTACACTGCAGACACAGCATCTGAAATGAGATTAACATTCCAATGCTAGATCAACACCACCACCACTGTGAAACCAAATCTCATGATGTGGTATAAAAATAATGTTAAGCCTAAACTTTCAAAAGAAAAAAAAAAAATTGGAATAACAAAAAAAATCCCAAAGTTTCAGGAACTATAAAATGTCATTGAATTTTTCTAACATTGCTATGTCTGAAAGAATATAATCAACAATTTATAATGAAAGTTTTCAAACACACAAAAAATTTTTCCACAGTGCCAAGAGAAAATAGTTAATATATCAGATGAATAAATGAAATTTAAAACATATTAATCACAACCAAAAGTGAATTTACAAAACATTATAGCCATACTCCTTTAAACAAATTTATAAAGCTATTTGACTTCTGATTTTATCTACTCTGAAAATTAGCCAAGTATCATGGTTAAAAAATTCTACTTAAAATACCAAGCTTTAGCTTACTCTAATAATCAATGGAGTAATTCAATTTTTTAAAATGTCACATAGATACTTTATCATCAACAGTAGAAGATCTTGTACAGATGTTAAAGATAGAGCACCATGTTCAAATGAAGACACAGAGTCTCACTTCTCAAGCTTTAGTTTCTTTTCAGCTTCAGTTTGACCATTTGTAAAATGGGGATAAACAGTAACTTACAATGTTAAGTTAAATGAGAATTTTCCTGGTAAAGAAGTAGTACCTGCAAAATGGTAACTTTACAGGGGAGTGGAAGAAAGAAAGAAAAACTTAAAAATAAGTTTTAAGTTTCTCCTTTAGTAAACTCCAGAATGAAACAATCTTTCTGGGCCCCATCAGTAAAAGTAGTGATACAATTTAACAATATCCTAGCCATCTACTTTCTCCAACAATGAAGTCCGTAAACTACTAGTCAGAAAAAACCCTCAGATTTTACCGTATCTTACTACTACCAGCATGTAAGTAAGGAGTTGTATTTCCACATGTTGGTGTGAGGTCTCTTCAAACTGAAAACCAAACATAGAGACTTGATCTAAAATAGTGTGGCTGAACTAAAACCCCCAAACAATCTCTTTCAGAAGGACAAGTCAGCTAAGAAGTGAAGGGTGGAAAATCAGCTCTTGATTTCAGAAGCTATGAAGACTATATAATTAAAGCAGGGGGTTCTGAAACAATTGGTGAGTTCTACAGGAAGACTTTGTGAAAACTTTAGTGGGCAGCAAAGTATCAAAGCATTAACATGCGTACACCAGCAATGGTCTCAAGAACCCAAAACAAGTCTTTAAGTAGTCTTTAACTACTACATTCTGGGCAAAACTAACATAAGCTGTTGCTCTTCACATAAACATGCTCCTCTATGAACTCGTCTCATGAGTGAAAATAAATATAAATACATCTATTAACAATAAATACTGCACTATAGTAACACTATCAAAATATTCCAACAAAAAGTAGAAATAACTTAAACTTTGAGTAACATGAATTAATGACCACTAAACTTTGTTTCAGTCAATACAAAATTCTATGTGGGAAGTTTCATTTGGGTGGGTAGGAGTGTGGGAGAGAGGATAGAAAAGGCAAGATTAAATGTAGGGTAAGAACAGGCAGCAACAGATAACCCTGCTCCAAAAACGTCATGAGCAAGACCTCCAGAGACAGTAAAAACCAGCCATGGAAACCTGGGCTTTTCCTGGATATGAATCAGGCATGCTCTTCCAAAAGAGAAAGGAAGCCAGCTACTTCTCTTCCATACCCACTGCACCAAGAAAAATTGGGATGGAACAGGGAATATTAAATCAAATTTCATTCACAGCAAGCTTTATCAAAGAAGGTTTTGTTCTGACACAGGGTCATGCTCTTTCACCTGGGGTTAGAGTGGGTGTGCTGGCCCCATCCTAGCTCAATGCAACCTCAAACTCCTGGGCTCAAGAAACCCTCCTGCCTCAGCCTCCCAAGTAGCTAGGACTACAGGTGCATGCCATCACACTGGGCCAAGAAGGCACGGTTACCTCCTCAACTGCTTACTAAGGCTGAAAATCCTGCAATAGTTGAAAAAGTTATTAATTCCATAATTATGAATAATATAAGCTTAAAATCAAAAGCCTGGTTTTAATCACACAAATAGATTAAGTTAGAATTAAAATAAAATTAAACAGTGAATGATACAATACTAATTTTTACCTAACCTGTCCTTTTAGGGAGAGGGCAAGTGGGGCCGGAGAACAGATAGCTACTTGGTTTCTGAAATGGGAAAGAGGGTTAATCTACCTTGAGAGAAATAGCACAGAGGGCAAGTAGTCCTGAAAAGCAGAAGGTAAACTTTGAAAATGTCAGATTAGTCCCAATGTAGATCAAAGGTAAATAAACTACCACCACAGTAAGGTATATTTGATCAGGTAGCTATCAATGAGCACAGTGCTGCTTCAGACTGTGAAAATGTACTTTTTAAACAAGGTTGACTCAATTTATCAGGGATTCTTAACCAACAAATCATAACTGTAACAATAAAAGACTTTTCCTATTTATTCTTGTTTTTCACCTTATTGATTCAAAGTATGTTAGACATTTTCAACTTTAATAGGTCACTTATGCACTGATTATTTACTAAATGTTAAACTGCCTTTTATATCTAACGCATTTGAAAAGTTGAACCTGAGC